GCGGCCATCGCCCAGGAGCTCAAGTATGGGAGACCCCAAAACAGCCCTAAACCACCCCAAAATATCCCCAAATCACTCCCTGAGCAGATCGCGGCCATCGCCCAGGAGCTCAAGTATGGGAGACCCCAAAACAGCCCTAAACCACCCCAAAATATCCCCAAATCACTCCCTGAGCAGATCGCGGCCATCGCCCAGGAGCTCAAGTATGGGAGACCCCAAAACAGCCCTAAACCCCCCCAAAATATCCCCAAATCACTCCCTGAGCAGATTGTGGCCATCACCCAGGAGCTGAAGTATGGGAGACCCCAAAACCCCCCAGAATAACCCCAAACTATCCCTAAATCACTCCCTGAGCAGATAGTGGCCATCTTCCAATAACTGAAGTATGGGAGACCCCAAAATAACCCCAAAATGACCCCAAATCACCCCCTGAGCAGATCACAGCCATCTCCCAATAACTGAAATACGGGAGACCCCAAAAACCCCCAAAATGCCCCCAAACTGACCCCAACCCCCCGTGTCCCCCCAGCGAGCTGGATTACTACGACTCCCCGAGCGTGAACTCGCGGTGCCAGCGGATCTGCGACCAGTGGGACCTGCTGGGCTCCCTCACCCACAGCCGCCGGGACGCCCTGGAGGTGAGGGGGGAACCCCTGGGCGGGAGGGACCCCTGGGGGGATCCCAACCCCGATCCCAAGGCCGATCCCGACCCCGTGGCGTCCCCAGAAAACGGAGAAGCAGCTGGAGACGATCGACGAGCTGCACCTGGAGTACGCCAAGCGCGCGGCGCCCTTCAACAACTGGATGGAGAGCGCCATGGAGGACCTGCAGGACATGTTCATCGTCCACACCATCGAGGAGATCCAGGTGGGAACGAAACCGCCCCGCAACGGCCAAAGGGGCCCCAAAAAACGGCCCCTTCCGAGCGTTTTCGGGCCGTTCTCTGTGGGCTCGGGGAGAGCCGGGTGGGAACCCGGGAATTCCATGGGAATGACCAGACTCCCGCAGGAACGACCCCAAAATGGCCAGGATGGCCCCAGAAATGCCCTTCCTGGGGCCGGGGTCCATCTCAGCCCGGGTCTGTCCCCATCCCGGGCTGGGTTCGCTGGGGGGCTGACCCAGTGCTGGGCCCATGTCTGTGGTGGTTCCCGGTGCTGATCCCACCCCAGTTCCCAGTGCTGATCCCAGTTCTGGGTGCTGATCCTGCTCTGGTTCCCAGTGCCAATCCCTCCCTGGTTCCCGGTGCTGATCCTGGTTCCTGGTGTTGATCCCACTGTTCCCGGGTCCATGTCCGTGGCAGTTCCCGGTGCTGATCCCGGTTCCGGGTCCTGATCCCAATTCTGGGTGCTGATCCTACTCTGGTTCCCGGTGCTGATCCCGGTTCCGGGTCCTGATCCCACCCCGGTTCCCAGTGCCAATCCCAGTTCCGGGTGCTGATCCTGCCCTGGTTCCCAGTGCTGATCCTGGTTCCTGGTGTTGATCCCACTGTTCCCGGGTCCATGTCCGTGGCAGTTCCCAGTGCTGATCCCGGTTCCCAGTGCTGATCCCGGTTCCCAATGCCAATCCCAGTTCCGGGTGCTGATCCTGCTCTGGTTCCCAGTGTCGATCCCTCCCTGGTTCCCAGTGCTGATCCCGGTTCCTGGTGTTGATCCCACTGTTCCCGGGTCCATGTCCGTGGCAGTTCCCAGTGCCGATCCCATCCCAGTTCCCGGTGCCGATCCCGGTTCCTGGTACTGATCCCGATTCCCGGTGCCAATCCCGGTTCCCAGTACTGATCCCGCCATTCCGGGTGTGTCCCAGGGCCTCATCGCCGCCCACGACCAGTTCAAGTCGACGCTGCCGGAGGCGGACAAGGAGCGGGAGGCGATCCTGGGCATCCAGCGGGAAGCGCAGCGGATCGCGGAGCTGCACGGGATCCAACTGCCCGCCGGCAACCCCTACACCTCCGTCACCCCCCAGCTCATCAACTCCAAGTGGGAGCGGGTGCGGACACCGGGATGGGCCCCCGGGGAGTCCCACACCCCTCCCGCCCTCAGCCGGCCCCAAAACTGCTCCTGGATCCGCTCCCGAACCCCTCCGTTCCCAAATCTGCTCCTGGATCTGATCCTGAACCCCTCCATTCCCAAATCTGCTCCTGGATCT